TCTGGGGATTGAACTCAGATCCTCAAGGTGGCACATAGGCAGACATGGTACTAGAGGAGCTGAGAATTTTCATCCAGATCCACAGGCAGCAGGAAGAGAGACACTGGACCTGGCTTGAGCATTTGAAACCCCAAAGCCCGCCCTCAGTGACACAGACTCCAACAAGGTCATGCCTAGTCCAACAAGGCCACACCTCCTAATCTCTGTCAGGTAACCACTCCCTAATGACCAAACATCCAAATATGTGAGCTTATGGGGGCCATTCCTATTCCAAACACCCTGGGGTTATTTGGCTCACACTTTCAGTTCACACTGTGTCATTGAGGGAAGTCAGTGCAGGAACCTGGAGGCAGGAACTGAAGCAGGAATCATGAATGATAGCGGCCAACTGGTTTGTTCCCACGGCTTACTCAGCCTGTCTTCTTATAGCCCCTAAGACCACCTGCTCTAGGTGTGTGGGTGCACAACCCACAAGGGGATATGCCCTACCACATTAATCGTTAATCAAGATGCCCCACTGGCTTGTCTCTAGGCATTTTCTCAGTTGAGTTCCCTCTTCCCAGATGACCCTGGAGTGCATCAAGTTGATATCATAACTAACTAGCCCAGCTACCTAGGGAGCCCAGCCTGGGCTATCTGAGACCCCATCTCAAAAGCTAGCTCTAATGTAGCTGCTGTAAGTACTCAGTTTAGAATATGATGCTGCATCCATTCTGGGTCCTTGATGCTTTCTGGGAAGCTGGCCATGAAGGGCTTCCTGCAAGGATGCTGAGCCCCTCCTTGGTGGGCTCAGTCAGAACTCGAGGTATGGCTCACACCTGTAATCCTAGCACTGGGGAGGAAGAGGTAGCAGGATCAGGAGTTCAGTGTTATCCTTGGCCACAAAGTGAGTTAGACCATCCTGGGCTATGTGAGATCCTCTCTCAAAAATGAGTAAGTAGGAGCTGGAGCAATGGCTCACCAGTTACAAAAGCACTGGCTGCTCAACCAGAGATTCAGTTCCCAGAATCCACATGGCGGCTAACAACTGTCTATTACTCCAGTTCCAGAGGATCCAAGGCCTTTTTCTGGCCTCTGAGGACACTGCACACACACACACACACACACACACACACACACACACACACGGTACACAGACGTATGTGCAGGCAAAACACCCATACACATAAAATAACAATAAGACCAGGTGGTGGTGGCGCATGCCTTTAATCCCAGCACTCTGGAGGCAGAGGCAGGCGGATCTCTGTGAGTTGGAGGCCAGCCTGGTCTCCAGAGTGATTTCCAGGAGATCCAGGGCTGCTACCCAGAGAAACCTTGTCAGGGGAAACAAAACAAAATAAAATAAAACAAAACAAAACAAACAACCCCCCCAAACCAAAAACCAAAACCAAGAGATAAATAAATCTTTAAAGCATATATAAATAAAGCTACACAGAAACTCCAGGGCCAGAGAGGTGGCTTGTGGGTAAAGGTACTTTCTGCACAAACCCAGCGACCTGAGTTTGATCACCAGGACCCACATACAAATGAAGGAGAGAGCCAATTCCACAGAGCTGTCCTGTGGTGTCCACACATATGAAGCAGAAATACTGGCCTCCACATCATGTGTACACACAGTAATAATAATGAAAAGGAATTCTAAGATAGTTCTGATGGACTACCCTGTTGGTTAGCTCAGGCCTCAGCAACTGAGGGACAGAAGTGCTACCTCCTGTACCCTATGCCAAGGGGGACATGAGGTCAGGGAATGGGTAAGCCAAGGCATATACATGTCCACTTGGGATCTGAGTATCCTTGGGGGACCTTGGCCAGTGTGTCAGGCAGAAGTAAGGAACAACTTGATTTGAGGTGCAGAGGCTGGGCTTGGTGTCAGCAGGCTGTGGTGACTGAGGGACTGACCAGGGTGCTTCCATTTGGTCATGGAGACCTTTGGGCCCAGGGAAGCAGTTTACCTTGGTCCTGAGAGTTACCTGGAAATGAATATGCTGTCTCAGTCTCTGTACCATGCCCCTTCTCAGAGTGTGGCTGCACTGTTGCGGCCTGGAAGGCTCTGGAGTACCTGGAACTGTCGGCTAGATGACAAAATGGAGCTGCGGGGAGGTGCTGGGCCCCCTGAGGCGAAAGTAGGAGTCTGGTAGCTGGCCTTTTCCTGCTCTGTTTGGAAACAAAACACAGCTTGTTGTCCAGCCTCCTAGCAGTAGCCTTTTAGGTCAGTGACCCTGGGCGCTGGAGAAGAACTTGTGCTTTCAAAGGGGTGGGGGATGGGAGGGACCAGTGTGGCTGGAGGACTCTGTATTGTCAGGCATAGGTTGGACAGTCACAGGCCCACCCTTGGACAGTCTAGGATCTGGCCACTGGCTCAGGTAGATGGTGCCCACTCAGGTGCATGGAGGCCACCCAGACCTCTGGGGTCTGAAACCTGCCCTTTCCTGCTCTTGTCTCTTGTTGACTTACCTCTCACTGTGTGGGTGGTCTTGGCATCTGGGATGCGTTATCGGAGGTGGTCCTGGCCGGAAGTGCTGAGAGTTTCCTGAAGGGCTGGGCAGCTGGCAGCTGGCTGGCTGGGCTGAAAGCTGAAGGGGGAGGTCTTTTGAAGGAGGGAGGGGCACACTGCAGCCCCTCTCCCCACCATGTGGCAGGACTAACCAGTATCATTTTACTTGGTCTATAAAATGGACTCACAGCCCAGGCTTCTGAGGGACCTCATGACGTAGAACTGGATAAGACCTCTGCAGGCAGACTGGCTTCAGAGCTAGGTCAGGTGGCACCTAGAACCTTCCTGCTTCATTGTTGAGACATGCCTGTGTACTGCGGACATGACTGTCATATCTGGTCAAGCAGTGTCCTTAACAAGATTCAAATTTGGGGCTTGGATAGAGCCCCAGTGCTAAGAGGTGTTTTTAGCATGGATGAGGGCTTACTCTGTCCCCAAAACCTTGGGGAAAAAAGGGAGGGGAGGAATAGTGGGAGGGAGAGGGAGGAATAGGGAGGAGGAAGGGAAGGGGGGAAGGACTGAGGAGATAGCTCAGTTGGTAAAGCATTTGCCTAGCATACATGAGGCCCGGAGTTTGAGGCCCAGAACCCATGGAAACAGGCAGGTGTAGTGCCAAACATCAGTAATCTCAGGGCCGGGCTGTGGTGGTTGGAAACAGGAGGATCCCTGGAGTTCCGGGTCTTCCAAGCTGAATCGGTGAGCTCCAGGTTCACAGAGAGACCCTCAAAAAGTAAAGTGGAGAGTGACTGAGGAAGACACATGACATTGACCTGCACACAAATAAATATGCACACACACATGCATAGAAGACTGAGAATACAGTACAGTAGTAGCATACTTACCTAGCATGTATGAGTCCCTAAGTTCTATTCCCAGCACCAGGGGGGAAAAAGGAAAAGAAAAAGTTTTAGGTTTGGGCTGGCAAAATAAGTCAATGGGTGCAGGAGCTTGCTGCCAAGCCTGATCACCTGAGTTCAGTTAGGATCCACTTGGTGGAAGAAGGGAACTGACTCTGTCCTCCACACATGTGTGGTATACTCATGAGCACACGAGCACACTGACTAATAAAATGTAATAAATATTTTACCTAGAAAAATAAGACTAAGGAAAAGAATGAGAATGCAGTCTCTGAAGCTGTGTTGTCCTCACAGGCATGGAAACTGGGGTCCCAAGGGAAGTGGCCTGTCTGAGGCAGACACTAAGAAACAGGACACAGTGTTTAGTCAGAGACCCTTCCTCTGTGCCAGGAAGCTTCTGGAACAATTTAGGTCATTCAAGTGGCAGCAGCTGCCTCCTGGGACCCACAGACAGCAAGTGGATGGATGGACAGTCACTCTTTAACCAGCTTCCCCAGGGATGCCAGCAGGCTCTGGCTGATTGCTTTTAGCAACATGGGGCTGGGCAAGGCAGCTTTCAGGTGGGCTGGGGTGTGTTGTGTTGGGGTGTGTCAGGGTGTGTTGTGGCATGCTCGTGGAGTCTAGGGCCCGCTGGATACCTGGGTGGGTGGCACCCTTAGCTTCTCCAAGAAAGCTCTACTGTCCAGGCTGCTTGGGGTACCTACTTCCTAGGACCCATGATCACATATGGACTCATTTCTGAAGCCCTCCCAGGGGCCAGGTGGGGCATCTGGTGAATACCAACTCATACCTTCCCATGAATGAAAGATGGAATGGTTGGCTCTGCTTCCTGCTGAGTGTCTTGCATGTGCCCCCAAACCTCTATGCCTTCAGTGTTTCAGTCCCCAGTACCTGTGAACATTGAGGAATTATGTGTTTATGAGCTGGCCAGAACAGCGCCCCCTGCAGGAGGTGCCACAAATTGCAAATGGTGACCAGATATATGGGCAAAGTCACCAGCTGACCCTGTGGCATTCCATCCCTCTGTGGCATTCCATCCCTCTATATGTTGGTTTTATTCCCTGCCTTAGGGCCTCTTGTGTTAACTCTATATTGTCATTTCTCCATTGGAAGGGGCCCACTTTGAGCTGTCTTAGCTGGACTGTCCTGGGCTGGTGGCTGTACTTCTCTGGATTTGTCTCCTGCTGCTTCTGATGGGGTCAGGAGTGACGAGCAAGGGCTCAAGCTCCTCAGGGGCTGGAGGTGAGGGCTGATCTGGGGATCCACTGTGGGTCACCAGTATCTAGATGATAGGAGGTGGTGACATCATTATGATCAGAGAGTAGGTCACAGGCTAGACCTGGTACATGCATTTGCCCAAGTCCTGTTTAATTCACAGCCCTACTCCTAGACTCAGTTTCCCCATTCAGGCAAGATGGCCTCTGAGGCCCAGCTTCCTTCTTAGAGTTGAGTGACTTTGGACATAAATGCTTTTTTTGTTGTTGTTGACACAAGGTCCCCCTATATAGACCTGCCTGTCCTGGTACTCTTCTGTATAGACCATGCCAGTCTAGAACTCACAGAGATCGACCTGCTTCTGCCTTCTAAGTGCTGAGATGAAAGGTGTGTGCCATCACACCGGGCTTGACATAAGTGTTTATATTTTTCAGAAACTTCAGTGCCCTCCGGAAGGAAAACATTTACGAGAACAACAAGCTGGTGAGTTGGCTAGCTGATGTCCACTTCCCTGCCCTCTAAGCCCTCTGCCTCGAACTCCCAGTTCTTATCTGAAGGGATGCTGCATCTCAGTGGAGGGAGCCTTCCACTAGGCTACCCAGGAAACCCATTCTGGAGATTTGGCCTCCCCACAGCTCTTTTCAGCCAGTTCCAAGCTGGGCAGTCTGTGTTCTGAGAGCAGTCTTTGATCTTGGATCCTAGGCCCCACAGACCACTCTCTTCCTTACTGGTACAGTGAAGCCCCAGGGAATAGCAGCCAACATTCTCAGTGTATGGCCTGACTGATCCACCCAGGGCAGATCAAGGCCCAAGGAAGCTTCGGGAGGGTCCTGGGGGTAGGCAGGACCACTTTCCCTGGCCCCTGGATTCCAGAACTACTCTGTATTCCCATTGTGAGATCCTTCCCTGTGTCAGCCTATCTCCCTGCTATAAGATGTACCCTACTGTCCCTTGGACTATACACATCTGTTCTTACTTTGAGCCAAGCAGGGTCCTCATGGGCCCCTGACACTGGCATCTCTGGGGAGGACTGAGACAGCTGACATGAGATGCTTTACCTGCCCAGACAGGGCAGCCTCTGTAACTTAATTATCATGACATACAGTTAAAGACTCAGTTCCGGGCTGAGCATGGTAGCACATGCCTTTAATCCCAGCACTGGGGGGTGGGGATATGGCTCATTGAGTAAACTGCTTGTGGAGCAAACATGAAGACCTAAGTCTTCTCCAGTACTGCCTGATGAGTGTGGCAGCTGGCCTGTAGTGCTGGTGTATGGAAGGTGGGGACAGGGGACCCCAAGAGCAAGCTGTCTAGCCAGACAAGCCCAATCGGCTAACTTTGGTTTCAAGCGAGAGAGAGAGAGACTGAATCAATACATAAGGTGCAGAGTGATCAAGGAAGATATCAGTGTCAACCTCTGGACTCTACATACATGGGTACATAGTATACACACACTGCATGACATGTACACCCACACACATTTGAACATGCATGCACATACCCCCCATGTATATTTAAGAAAAAACTAAACATAACATAGAGAGCAATTTCGGGAAACATCTGACCTTGACCTCTGGCTGCACATGCATGTACGCATGCACACATGAACACACACAGCACAAAAGGGTCAGTTTGTTTGGTGTTGGCCACATTGCAGTACACTGCTCCAATAGCACAGGGCATGAGACAGAAGAGGCTGAGGTACATGGATGGCAGATCTGTGGATGCTCTCAGAAGTCATCCTGGGTGGAGTGACTGCATGGACAAAGGTCCTGGGGCTGCAGAGTGCTGGGCAGGACACGTAGCTGAAGGGCCAGGGTGGGGTGGAGTCTTGAGGCAGGTGCAGAACATGGTGGAGAAAGACTCTGGACTTTCCCTCCAAGCCAGTGAGACTGGACCCCTGGGAAGAGTGGACCTGGAGTCTCTCCTCCAGACTGCAGGAGAAAGGAGTATATGGTGAAGAGGTCACACATGAGCTTCTGTGGGAGTGGCCAGATCCTGAACCTGTTCTGTGGGTCAGAGGAGATCTGAGACTTGGTTTGAGTGTGGCATGGGGGCCCGAAGGGGCTGCACATGTGGGAACAGCCTAGGGACCCCAACTTGACATCCACATGGAAGCCACACAGGCATCTAGAAGAGGGGCCTCAGTGAAGAGAACTACAAGAGAGCCCTGGAAGTCACCAGGGGCTGGGACCAGGACACCAGTGACCTCTGCCCTGGGCTAAATGGAGCTGGTGGAGTTTTACATTTTTTAGATTTTTATGTATTTTGTTTTGCAGTGTTGAGACTTAAACTTGCATAATACTAGGCAGGTGCTATGCTACTGAACCACACCCCAACCTCTCTCTGGGGGATTCTAGGCAGCAGCTCTATGGATGAGCCATATTCTTAGTCCACTTTCTACTTTTTATTTTAAGATGGTATTCCTAAGTAGGCCTGGCTTGCTTTGAACTCACTCTGGAGCCTAGCATACTCTTGAACTCATGATCATCCTGCCTCAGCCTCCCAAGTAGCGTAGGCCTGCAGCCACAGCTGGCAATTTGAGAAGGACTTGAGTGGGTAAAAGTCATCAACAACCACAGGTGGGTACCTCGGTGAGGCCAAGAGTCAGATGTGGAGGAAATATGGAGGTTCGGAGGTTACTTGGTGAGAGAAGGGAGTGGGGAGGGCCAAGCAAGGGAGTAGGTCAGTACTGGGAGCCTCCTTGGGCTTTTGTGCTGGTTGTGGGTAGCAGACAGTGAAGGTGGGAGGGGCACTGAGCTGGCAATCTACCCAGATGGTATTCAGACAGTGAAGGTTCCTGGCCTTCCTAGCCCAGTGCACCCTGTCCCCATCCCAGGGTGTCAGCCATATCATAGACAAGCTGCTCTAAGTGGATGACACTTGGCCCAGCAGGGCTGCAGAGCCTCAGGGATGTTTCTGGAGTGATAAGCCCCAGGGGTGGGGTGAGCACATACCCCAAGAGCCTCTTAAAACCAGGCTGTGTGAGACAAACCCATACCATCTAGTCCTAGCTATTCAGGAGGCTGAGACAAAAAGATTACAATGCTAGTACTGGGGGTGTGGCTCAGTGGCAGAGCACCTGCCTAGAATCCCCCAGTGAGGGGCTAGGGTGTGGCTCAGTGGTAGATTACCTGCCTAGCAAGTTGGGGGCCCTGGGTTCAATTCACAGCACCTGCTCCCAACATACAACAAGCCCTCTGGGGCTAGTCTCCTGAGGAGTATCTATTGGGACTTTGAACATTTTTACAAGTGGACACATTGAACCTCAGAGGTCACTCAGGCAGGGGTCTTTGAACTTGCAGCCCAGGTGTCTTTGTACCTTCTTTTTCGTCTGGGTTGGTGGCCCAGCAATAGTTCTTCCTGCTGCCTGCCCTGCTGATTTAAACCCCTATCCAGGCCTTCCAAGTGGCTGAGGAACAGCTGGGCATCCCAGCCCTGCTAGATGCTGAGGACATGGTGGCCTTGAAGGTTCCAGACCGGCTGAGCATCCTCACCTACGTGTCACAGTATTACAACTACTTCCACGGCCGGTCCCCAAGTGAGTCCCTGTCTAGGAGGGCCCTACAGTGCCAGGGACATGGCCAAGACTACGAACACCGTCAGGACCACCAGTCCATGCTGGAGTCTCCCCTCTTGGGCTCCATGTCCACCCTTTGTCTTCATGTCACAGCCGGAGGGTGGGTAGTGATGCAGGGAGGGTACCTTTCTCAAACTACTAATATGGGTCCTCGTAGCTGTCTGTTACCAAGGAGACCAGAGGCCTTTGTGCAAGTATGGAGTGAGGTTCCTGGGCTCCCTTGTTCCCCAACCTCGTCATGATGGGGATCGCTAAGCAAGGCTTCTGCCTATGCTGTGCTCCTAGATGTACTCTTATCTCAGTCTTTCTACCCTGTTTACCCATCTCAACCCCCAAGGCCTTAGCTGCTGGAATTATTCGGCAGAACGTGGGTGACGCCTGGTTGACTGTGGCCATGGAAGCTGTGTGGCCCAGGCAGGGCTGGGCAGGGCTGTGCGGGCAGACCAGGTCTTCACCCAGCCCTCTGAGCGAGGAGCTATTTGGCTCCCTGCACAACATTCCTCTTATAGCTTTAGAAATCTCCGGAATCCCCCTGGGCTGAGGGCCAGCCCAGAATGGTGGTTTGGAAACAGAAAAGTCCCTCTCCGTGACCCTAGATGGGGTTGTCGGCTGGGAGACAGGGTGAGGGCCAGGCCAGGGTTTGCTGGAAAGAATGTGCCCTGAGGCTGTCCTTCCCAAGATCTGCTCCCCACCAGATGTCCTAGCAGGCCAATGCCTTTCACTGTGGGCACAGCAACATACTCTGGGCAGGACCCTCCTGACCCCTATTTCCTGTGTCTCATGCCAGTTGGGGGCATGGCTGGTGTGAAGAGACCCTCATCAGACTCTACTGAAGAACGTTCTGGAAAGAAAGTCCTGACCCAGCCTGCCAAGTTGCCCTCACCTGCTCCAGTCCAGAGGTCACCACTATCTCCAGCTAGGACAAACCCGGTGGTTCAGAGGAATGAGGGTACCTCAGAGGGGTCATACCCAAAGGCTGTAAGCATATCTTGGTTGAGTGGGCATTGTAGGGCTATGTATATCCCAAAGCATAGAGCCGTGTGGGGTTTTCTCTTAGGGTACAGTACCCCTTTCCATGCTTTGTATCTAGTGCACCCACTGAGGTGGCTCTGCTGAGCTCCAGTTCAATGTAGCAAGAATAGTGATTCCCATAATACAGATGGGTAAACTGAGACACAGGAGGTCATCCAGATGGGATGGAATTGTAATCTCAGTCTTTTCTGGGCTAGTTTAGGTTGTCTTCTTTCCCAGATGGGAAGGGACCCTGGGTTGGACCTCTCATCTCTGGACAGCCCTGCAGTGCTGAGCTTGAGTGCCCCCTGCTGTCTCTTAGTGGTTACTGTAGGTTCCATGAAGTCTAGCCCCACATTGGGTCACAAGATCTCCAAGATCAGTCTCCTGCTCCCCGACAGGGCCAGTGTGGAGGCCCTGAGAGTGCAGCCATGACCATGCCCTGGCTAATGGCTCCCCAGGGTCTCAGGTCTTCAGACTATAAAGTGGGATCTGTTGGCCACCTTTGGGCTGAGGTGGGAGTCTGGAGATGTCAGCTGCCCCTCAGCAGCCCCTGACACTTTCCTGCAGGCTCTGGGAACTGCAGGAAGTTCCATGAGCAGCATCTGTGGGATCTGTGGCAAACATGTTCACCTTGTGCAGAGGCACCTGGCTGATGGGCGGCTCTACCACCGAAGCTGCTTCAGGTATGGTTTCCCGCTGCATGTCTGGGTGCACCTTTCTTGCTCCCACACCTCCCCTGGCTCCCAGAGTTCTTGCATCTGTCTTCCATTGGGGACAGTACTACTGAACCCTAATATCCTCCTCTAATGTCCCTTGGGGATAACTTTCTAGACACACTGACTCAGTCTCCCTTGTCATCTCAGCCTTTTGTGCTGTTTTTTTTTTTTTTGACTCTGTGACCCCTAGTAACCTCCTTCTTGCCTCCCTGAAGCTTTCTAGATTTGAGGGGCAAAGAGTGAATCCCGTGTTAATCTTCTGTGAACTTGGAGTAGTTGGACTCCTGAAAATGGGGCACACTATGTAGTCTTTATGTATGCATCTGGTGACATGTTTGAGCACTTTCTGTGGTGTCCACACCTCTGGCAAGTATGCCAGTGGAAGCTGCAAATCACATGATTGAAATCACTAATGAGCACTTGTTGAACTTATCAGCGACCGCAGGAGTGTGGCGATGTGTGCTTGTGGGGTAGTGAAATGAATGAGCAAGGGGATGAATGAGTGTCTGAGCAAGGGTGCAGGCTCTGAATCTCTGTGGCTTCCTCCCACAGGTGTAAACAGTGTTCCAACACACTGCATTCAGGGGCCTACCGAGCCACGGGAGAGCCAGGAGTCTTTGTCTGTACTCATCACAGCCCAGAAGTCGCCTCTGTGAGCCCCAAGTTGTCAAAACTGGCCTCCAGACAGTCGGGAGCTGTTGCTGTAGACACCAGGCCCTTCAGTGCCTCACGGAAGGTTCAGGAAGCAAATGGGCTAGGAGAGGTGACACCATTGAGGGTCAGGGCAGCAGCCTGGGAGTCCTCTGTAGGCAACACCACTGCCAAAGGTTTTGTCCAGACTGAACTTAACCCACCAGCCACCTCCCGTGTCCATGTGGGGAGCCCTGCAGGGCCCAGGCTGCCCACAGGCCCAGTGGCCACTACTTCTGTGAATGGCAAAGCCATCACCCATGTGACTAATAGCTCCCCGACAGGGTGGTCATCAACTGCCCAAAGCAGCAGCCCAGCGACCATCGGCTCCCGTCCTGCTGTGTACCCAAGTGCTCTGGACTCTCACCCATCTGTGCCCCAAGGCCAGGCAACTTCAAAAGGTGTTAAGACTCAGCTCAACTTGAGCACAGCATCTCCAAACACAGCAGCCACCCCAGCCTGGACCCCTGTAGCCTCTAGGACCCAGCAAGCCCGAGAGAAATTTTTCCAGAATCCTACCCCAGCCCCATCCAGCAACAGTCCTGCCAGCAAGGTCCCCCCTGTGGTGAATACCTCCACCAGCAAGGTCCCCCCTGTGGTGAATACCTCCACCAGCAAGGTCACCACTGTGGTGAATGCCCCCAATGGTAGGGTCCTCCCTATGGTGAATACCTCTACCAGCAAGGTCTCCACTGTGGTAATTGCCCCCACCAGCAGGGTGTCCACTGTGGTGAGTGCCACTGATGGCAGGGTCCCCACTGTGGTGAATGCCCCCACCAGCAAGGTCCCCACTGTGGTGAATACCCACATTGGTAGCATTCCTGCTGCGGTGAATGCCCCTGCCAGCAAAGTCTCTGCTGCTGTGGATACCCCTGCCCAGGAAAGCAGTCGAGAGCAAGCTCTAAGTGTCCTTAGGAAGGCCCTGCCAGGGCTAACAGGAGCTGGTACCCAGGCTCCAAGCAGGTAGGTGGGAGGGATGTGGGGTGGCTATGACCTGCCCACCAGGACATGGAGAAGTCCTGTCCCTCCATGACTGTGTGGCCTTAGCTTCCTTATCTGGAGAGTGGAGGTGGGGTGCGGGATAGAAGCAGAAATGCAGGGCATGGTGGTCTTATAGGCATTGGTGGCTGCGGGTGGCCCACATTAGATTGGTACTCCAGCATCCTTATGCCTGTCTTGTGGCCAGGAAAAGACGTGTTGAGTTGGAAGCCACCCTGCCTGGCTCCATGCCTTGGATGACTTGTGTGAGTGGAGCTGGGCTCTGAGCATTCCTTTGTGCCTGGCACCTATAGTATCTTCCACTAGACACTGACCATATGGTGTAAATAGAGGGGGCACAGTCATCCCTTGCAGGACAGCTTCAGTGTCAGAGGCATATCCTGTGGCAGGTCACATGCTCCACCAGGGCTCCAGAGAGGGGTCCTTTCACTCCAACATCTGGATGTTCCTGCATCCTTTGGTTTAGTGGCAGCCTCCCTCCATTTCTGATTCCATTGTTGGATGGACTCCACTTGCCTCTGTCTCTTCTGTCTTTGTTGTTGTTGTTGTTTGTTTTTTGAATGTCAGAGATGGAATTGAGGGTATCCCACATGTAAGGCAGGTGCTCTATCACTGAGCCACACCCCAACCCCTCACTGGGGGATTCTAGGCAGGGGCTCTAACACTGAGCCACACCTCGGGTCTTTTTTAAAAAAATATTATCTATAATGTGTGTGAGGGGAGTGCATATGTGACAGTGTCTGTGTGGAGGTCAGAGACCAATTTTATGGAGTCGATTTTTCCTTCCACCTTTATGTGGGTTCTGGGGGTTGAATTCAGGCTGCCAGGTTTTTATGGCAAGCACATTCATCTACTGTCTCACCAGTCCACTCCTTATGTTTTTGAGACAAGGCCTCATGTATCTCAGCTGCCTAATTTATAGATGACCTTCAACTCCAAGTTCTCTTGCCTTAACGTCCCAGTGCTGGGATTGCAGGTGTGCACCACCATACCTGCGTCACCTGTCTCTTATAAGGTTAGTGGTTTTGATTGCCACTGTACTCAAGTGTGACTGCATTATAATGTGGTCACATCTACTGAGCCTCCCACCCCCTTTTTTGAGACAAGGTTTCTCTGTATAGCACTGGCTGTCCTGGAACTCCCTCTGTAGACCAGACTGGCTTCGAACTCAGATATTTGCCTCCCGAGTGCTGGGATTAGGGATTAAAGGCATGTGCCACAACCTTCCCCCTTTTTAAAATAAGATCCCACCTCAAGCTCCCCATTGGTTCCCCAGTAGATCTGAGTTTTAGGTACCCATTCAATCCAGTACAACTGTCTAGTGAGTCAAGAGGTCCCATTCTGGGTTGGCCCTTGATTTCAGGGTGGGACATTCCTGGATTGTAACTGCCTGAATCCACCCTCATTCGGTACCCAGAGGCTCGTGGGCTGGTCCTAGGGTCAGGAGGAAAGTACGCTGCTGCTCCTGGGCTGTGATAAGTGCCTCTGTCTTGACCCTGCAGAATAGACTTGGCAGAGCTTGGAGTGGAGCCACGTGTTGCCTGGGCTCTGTATACCTGCATGTGAGATGTTGCCTAAGGAAATGTAGGTAACCAGAGCCATGTAGCCCAGACGGGGGCTGGTGCCTGGCTGGACTGTCCAGCCTATGAGTAACTTAATACTTATCTGGGCAAGTGTAGGCCAGCCTGTGGCTCCAGCCAGGGCCCTCTTCGGTGCTTTAGCTTTGGTACCCCATGCATGGTATATTTAGGGGACATTTTAATCACAATGGACACCAGATTTAATAGCGTCAAAACAGCTACCATTGCATGTAAGTGCCACAAGGAGATGCCATGGGCCATTTGGCCTGGGGTAGATTGTCCTCTGTTCATTGGGGTCACTCTGAAAACTAGCTTCTTTGGGGGAGACTCCTGGGCCCATACCTGATGCCCACTCTCTTCCCCACAGGTCCTCTCCAGCCACGTCCTCTGTTACAATCACCCTTCCCAAGAATGAAGTGCCACAAAAGGTTCCCTCAGCCAAGCTATCACATTCAACCATTTCTCAGGCTCCTGCTTCAAAGATGGAGCCTACAGCCCCCCTGAGTGTGGGCAATACTCAAACTGGCAAAAAGAGCCTGAGTGCATCTCCAGGGGTTGGTAAGACCAGTGCTGGCTCCAGGCCACAAGCTGAGGTGGCAGTACTGAAGGGTAAGAGTCCCTGCTATGGGATGGGGAGGGATGGAGGGGTGGAGGGGTGCAGGGTCCTGGAGTTGACCACTCCACAAGTGTTGCTCAGATACACCCTGACTACCTTTCTCTTTGACGGGTGTCTGGGTGTCTGCTGTCCTGTAGCCCAGCTCTTAGGACCTATATATATAATTCTCTATGAGTCCTCATCTGCTGCTTCTATGTGGCTGTGGCCAGGGTCCCCAGGGTCACACCATGACCATTGTCCTAGATTCTTATGTAAGCCCAGACCATGTTGCCCATCCTTAGCTGTGCCCCCAGGGTGCAAAAGGAGGCCTTGTCCACCTTCACAATGGCTCTGCCTAGGACTTGGGTCCTGCTGTCCCTTAGCAACTTTCCCCAGATACCCTGGGTCTGCATACCCCTGTCATTTCTGTGGGTGTCTGGGGAAGTGGGGTTCAGAATGCACCACAGAGGTGCAATTTTCCCTTTAACTGAGCTCTCTGTTGAGTCCACTGCTAGGCGTGAGCCAAGAGTGACTATGGATATAGGTAGCCATACCCAGTCATTGCTCATCATGTCACCCATCACAGAGTCAGTCCACAGGTATTTCCTTCCATGTCAACACCCATTTGACAGATTGGAAATTGAGGCCTAGAAAGCAACAGTGATTCCCTCCAGGGTGCACAACACAGCAGCCAAGCTGGAAGCCTCGCCTTTGTCCTGTGTGCTAGGCTGGCTCTGGGGGTGTTGAAAGGTACAGTTGGCTATGAAGAGACATCCTAACCTGTCTCACCTACTTGATCTATAGGTCCAGGTTCCACCTCTCAGGAAGGCCAGGAGGAAGGGCCAGAGGGATGGAGGGCCCGCCTGAAGCCGGTGGATAAGAAAAACACTGCTGGGAGGTGAGCAGGGGTGGCTGGTCACTGGCAGAACCACACCCATGCCTGCAGTATGAGCTGAGCCAGTACACAGCAGGTGCCTAATTAAGCATGTGTGGGAGCATGGCAGTATACATCCAGGAATTGGTACAGTTCTGGCCAGAAGGCACACATACACTTGGTCCTTTCAGTATCCATAGAAAAAGTTGTTCATATCAGCTTGAGTGTCCTGGGACTCTACCTGCCAGGGGACAGAGTGACAGGGACACCTCATCCCAGAGGGATGACTTAAGGGGTGTGGTGAATGCAGAGCTGCAGGTGTGCCATGCCAAGCAGCTTACATGAGGCTGGCATGGGGTGGATGTCAGTGCCTCTAGTCCCTGTATACCTGAGGCACCTGGGCCCGACATGGAGCATGTGGAAGCGCACAGCTCTGTATCTTGGGGGTGGAAGCAGGAAGGTCCTGGAATTAGAGGCTAGGATGATGAGGGCCTGGGCAGGTAGCTTCCTTCAGACCATGCAGACCTTGGACATAGTCATATGGCTTTGAGACAGACTCCTGGCTGTCCCTGTCTAGGCTGGGACTCACCTTCTCTTCCACCTAGGACTCTGGGGCAAAAAGAAGTTCCGTCAGAGCCAAGGGCAGGGGACACTCCCAGGAAAGCCTCCAGCAGCTCCGACACCAGCATTCATGTCGTCTTGACTCCCATTCAGCATAAGAGGACACCACGCCTGGCTGATTCCGGGCCGAGCCTCCCAGGTAATGCTTGTGGGAACTCTGGTGGGTCTTTGTGTGGAGTATGTGCTCCAACTGGGATCAGCACAGGCCCTGCTCAGCTAGAGGGGGTGCTTACATATGGAATGGATGTGTGTGCATGTGCGTTCCTGGGTGGGTTTAATGTGCACTCATGTATTCAGGCTCAGTATATGTGTGTGTATACATATGGTCATGTATGAGACATGTATATGGGGGATGTGTATACATGCCTGTCCAGACATAGGATTTGTGTATGCATATATATTTGGATATGGTGTGTTAATATGTATATGCATGCTTAGGTATAAGAGATATGTGAATATGTGTTCAAGAATGGGATAAATGTGTGCATGCATATACCTGCATGGTATGTATGTGTATTAGATATATTCAGGTGTAGTCTGTGTGCCCATGTGTGTCAGCCTCTCAGTGTCAGAGCTCTGGCCAGAAGGCCTCACACATGCCTTTGCCCTCCACCTTTGTGCTAGCAGCCCCCTCTCCTTCTCCATCACACCGTAAGAAACTTACTGTCCCTCCCAGCCTTGATGTTTCTGCTGATTGGCTCCAGCCAGAGCTCAAGAAGCAGGAAACTCAGGCCAAGAACCAGAAGGAGGAGAAGACGCCCACCTGGAGGACAAGAGGTCAGTCCCAGAGATGCTATTCTGTTTGGAAGGTGGTAGAGGCGGCAATGCCTGCTGGGGCTGATGGACTAGAATAGATGGGTCAGGTCATGGCCAGGCTGCACCCACGTTCTGTTAGGCTTGGTGCCCTGAGACTGAGGGCCTCACTTATCCATCAATTTTCTAGAGAAGCCTGCAGTCCTGGACAGTGCTCTTGCTCCACATGGTGATACTGTAACCTCTCCAGTCAGGGTGAGTCAGCTGGGTATGAGGGACGGCTGGGCTTTGGTCCTGTGCTTTTGCTCACTCTCCATTGGTCCCCCAGCTGCACTCCAACTATATCCCTCAGGAGGAGCTGCAGAGGCAGCTGCAGGACATTGAGAGTCAGCTAGATGCCCTGGAGCTCAGGGGTGTAGAGCTGGAGAAGCGGCTGCGGGCAGCCGAGGGAGGTAAGTAGCTTGGGATGTGTCCCTTCCAGTGGCCATGCCCTATAGCTGACCATGTACCCACTGGTGACTGGTGGCCACACACTATCTTTCCATTCCCCTACATGACTGTCCACACTCTAAATAGCTGGCCATGTCTCCATGGGCTGACTACACGCTACAGCTGGCCATGCCCGTGAGCTGGCCATAACCCTATTGGCAGGTCATGTTTCCATAGACTGGTCATACCTACACTGGATGGCCCTGGCCATACTCATTGTCCACCCATTACTGGTTGCAGATTGACCATGCCCCTTACTGGGGCCAACCAACTCCATCCCACACTAGTTGCAGATTGGCCATGCCCAAGCTGCAGGCCCTCCTGAGTACCTCTGGCTAGCTTTCACCCTGTCCCAGGTCTGCCTTTCTGCACCAGGGTGAGTGTCAGGCACTCTGTGGCTTCTCTGTCTCAGCTGTGTTTCTCTACAGATGCTGCAGAGGACAGCCTCATGGTGGACTGGTTCCTGCTTATTCATGAGAAGCAGTTGCTGCTCAGGCTCGAATCGGAACTCATGTACAAGTGAGACACCTGAGCCTTGCAGTGCCCTGATGGGACCAGCCCTTGTATGTGGTAGGAACAGCCTAGTCAGACTGAGCCTCAGACATGCTTGTCCTGCAGGTCCAAGGACCAGCGCCTGGAGGAGCGGCAACTGGACCTCCAGGATGAGCTGCGGAGGCTGATAGACAAGCCGGGTACGTGTCTGTCCCCAGGAAGCCTGGCCTGAGAGCCATAGACCCATGTGCCCACTTCCCCATTTGCCCTGCCTTGACCTAGGAGAGTCTAATGGTGATATGGTTGTGGCTAAGCCATCAGGCTTTTGTTCCTATGCTTCTGGCTGTGTGACCTTGGACAAATGCCTTAGCTGTTCTGTGCCTAAGTTTGATGCTCTTCAAAGTAAGGATCTCACAGTGTGCTCCCTGCCCTGCCCTCAACAGCTAGTGTGAGGTTCAAGGGGATGACATGGCAGGGGCACTATGAGCAATGAGGACAGCTTCACACCACATCCTGGCTGTAGGACCCCTGCCTCAGCCTTGCATAATAAAGACATAGAGACCAGAGGCCACACACTCAGACTGTGTGGGCCCATTCCTTGATCCAGGTACTCTGTAAGCTCCTCCAACACACAGGTAGTGTGACTATCCTGACCCTGAGCAGAATGGGGAAATCCTACTGATGGCAGGCTGTCCCCACAGAGGGTCTGAAGTCCCCCCGAGACCGCCAGCGGGAACAGGAGCTATTGAGTCAATATGTGAACACCGTGAATGACCGCAGTGACATTGTTGACTTTCTGGATGAGGATCGGCTCCGGTGAGGGACAGGGGACCTGAGGAGGAAGGTCTGGGGTCAGAGATGCTCCTGGCTGGCAGTCTACTCTTACTCAATGGGACCCAGGTTGCATTTCACAAGAAGATTCATGTTTGGGGAAACTAATCCTCCCATGGGGCTCTTTCTCACTCGGGTCCCTAGCCTTTAAGCACTGCCCAATACAGCTAATGAAGGAAATGGACTATCACCCATGTTGTCAAGTGTGGCAGCCATGAGTGGCTAATAGACCATGATCTTTGGCCTGTGAAACTGAACAGTGGCTTTGAAAAATAATTTGTTTATTTACTATTTTTTTACATATGCCCGTGTTTCTATAAGAATTTATGTGCACCACATATGTGCAAGACCAGAAGAGGAGGGCATCAGAACTCCTAGAATTATAGTTATAGGTGGCTGTGAGCTGCTATGTGGGTTCTGGGGACTGAACCTGGTTCCTCTGCAAAAGTAGTAAGCACCCTTCACTGCTGAGCCAGCCCCTAAAACTGCTTTATCTTTATCTGGTATGTGTGTTGCTGAGGATTAAACTTAGCCTCATAAATGCAGGAAGGGACTGTACTCCCAGCCCCTCACTGGGAGATTCTAGGCAGGTGCTCTACCACTGAGCCACACTCCAACCTCCTCACTGGGGGATTCTAGGCAAATGCTCTACCGCTGAGCCACACCTTAGCCCCTCACTGGGGGATTCTAGGCAGGTGCTCTACCGCTGAGCCACACCCCAGCTCCTCACTGGGAACTCTAGTGTTGTGTTATAACCCCAGCACTGTTGTTACTTTATTTTGAGACATGGTCTTACTAAGTTACCCAGTCTGACCTTGCACTCTTTGGCCCAGGTAGACTTCAAACTCAATCCTCCTGTTCCAGACTTAGCTGGGATGTTACCCTAGAAGTAGCTGAGATGATAGGCCTACACCATCAAGCCTGGTTTAGTACTTAATTTTAACCAAATATGTATAGCTGTGTGTTTACTGGTGACTGTGAAGCTTCTCCATGGTCTGGATGCAGCAGGAACTTGAGACCAGGGCCAGGTGGGGCTGACTCTGGGAGTGATGTCATACCTAGTCAAGAGCAGAGGGAAATGATGTGAACGTGCTTGTGTTCAGCTTGCTCAGCTCTCTTGTGTCAAACGAGGCCCAATGTCCAGGGCACATAGGGTCAGCCCAAGACTGAACTCAAGCCAAACTCTGTATGATCCCAACAGGGGCTTAGCCACTGTCAGAGCAGGTCATCTGTTGTCCCCAGGTCACTGATGAGTGGCTAGGCTGAGGAAGGCAGGCACCTGCTTGGGGATGGAGGGACAAGTGGAGTCTCTCATGGGGCTGTGAGGGCGGGGGGATGGGGATAGCTAGAGTCAGGTGGGGCTGAGTCTGGTGGAGAGAGAGCACACATGTTCTCTGTAGCTCTCCAGGGCCCACGTCCCTCACACTCACCCTGTCCTCATTCCAGGGAACAAGAAGAGGACCAAATGCTGGAGAACATGATCCAGAACCTGGGTAATTATGAATGCAGCAGGGCAGAGCTTCCTATGGGAGTGGCAGCCCTACCAGTGGCAGGGAAGTAACACAGGAGTCTTAGTGGGAGATTCATGGCTCTGTCCTCTCCTCAGGCCTCCAGAAGAAGAAGTCCAGGTTCAGCTTTTCCAAGATCTGGTCCTCAAAGAGCAAAGGCGGGCAGACCTGAGCTGCCCAGGGCTGGTACCAGAGCCCTGGCCCTTCTCAGGAAGAGACTGGTGCTGTGACCCCAGATGGGATGCCTGGGGGGTGACAAGGCCCATGCTTCCCACTCTGGGTCCTTGTATCCTTAATAAAGACATCTACCCTCCCACATTTGCCTATGCAAGTCACTGTGCCAGGAGCAGGACACCTATGTCCCAGCATGTACTAGGTGCTTTGGCTGGGCACTCTTCTCTGTCCCATTTCTTCTTTGTTGCTGTAATAAAATGTGGACAAGGCAACAAAAGGGAGAAGGAGTTTGTTTTAGCTCCCAATTCCAGGTTACAGTCTGTCACTGAAGTGAAGCCACAGCAGGCAGGGCTTGGAACCACTGATCACATGACATCCGCAGTCAAAAACAGGGAGATATGAGTATGTGCACACTTAATGCTGTTTTCTTTTCTTTCTTTCTCTTTTTTTCTGAGACAGGGTTTCCCTGGGTAGCTCTGGCTGTCCTGGAACTCACTCTGTAGACCAGGCTGATGTCAAACTCACAGAGTTCTGCCTGCCTCTGCCTCCCAAGGGCTGGGATTAAAAGTGTGTGCCACCACTGGTCTGGTTCAGTTGGCTTTTCTACTTTTATATAGTTCAGGTCCCCAGGGAATGGTGCTTCCCACTTTCAGGCTAGTTCTTTCCATTTCATTGCGGCAATCAAGACAATCCCCCCACAGACATGCCTACAGACCAACCTGGTCTAGATGGTCCCTCACTGAGACTCCTCCCAGGTGACTCTAGACTGTGTCCAGTCGTCAATTGAAGCTGTCCATCACCCTCTCTGGACATATTTGTTGCTCCTTGTCTGTGCAGATGGACATGAAGACAGAGTGGGACACTGTAGTAATTATGCCCCCATGGCCTGGGATCTGTGCCCTGGGCACAGGTGACATGTGGGTGTGGGGCAGAAGATGCCTAGGGTTGATGATAGGGTCCCTGAGTAGTTGTAAGGGTATGTTGTCTCAAAGATGGGGTGTGCTCTATTGGCTTAGGAAAGACCAATGGTGTGAGAGAGGCTTGGGGGAGTCAGGCCACAGATGGGCAGGGCTGGTTCAATAGCAATGTGGCTGAGTGTGGCAGTGTGCTGCCTAGTTTTATGTCAGCATAGCACAAGCTAAAGTCATTGGAGAGAAGGGAACTTCAACTAAGAAAATGACACCATAAGACTGGGCTGTAGGCAAGCCTGTAAGGCATTTTCTTAATTAGCCAATGGGGGAATGCCCAGCCTATTTTGGGTGGTACCATCCCTGGTCTGGTGATCCGGAGTTTTATAGGAAAGAAGTCTGAGAGATCCATGGAGAGCAAGACAGTAAGCAGCACTCTTCTGCAGCCTCTGCAGCAGCTCCTGCCTCCAGGTTCCTGCCCTGTTTGAGGTCCTGCCCTGCCTTCTTTCAGTGATGGACTGTCGATGTGGAAGTGTTAGCCAAATAAACCCTTTCCTCCCCAAGTTGCTTTGGTCATGGTGTTTCCTCACAGTAATGATAACCCTAAATAGGACAGAAATTGGTAGTGGGAGTGGGGCTATTTCTGTGACTGTCCTGACCATGTGTTTTGGAGAGGATTACAGAAGGACTTTGGAATATTGAGCTAGAAAAGTGATTGAGTATTGGAATCTCTGTGGGAGCTTGGAAGATAAGAATGTTGATGGAGGCCTGGCTTGTGAAGTTCCAGAGGGAAGTTTGAGAGTCCCTTAATGACTCTATCAGAGTCGTTTGCTATTTTGAGTTAAGAACCTGTGGTTCTGATTAGCTGCAGCTGAGAATCAGCAGTGATTAACAAGATAACAGAACCACTGAAGTAAAACCTTTGCTTTACTGGGATAATGGATGCTGGTCCGATGGGGCTGAAGAATCAGCTACAATTAAGAAGAGGCCAGCAGCATTGAGGTGACATATTCTGAAAAGTGTTTCCTGAGAGCACATAGAAGCTGTGTTCCAGAGGCAGCCAAGGTTGTACCTTGGGCTGGCAGCTAACATTGGTCATATGTAAGGGTCATCCAGGTGGTATTGGTTTTGAAGACATGAGAAGGGTCACAGAGAGCAGTTAAGGCTTGGCACCATGAGGAGAGCCTATTGGTGAAAGTGCAGCCATGTTGCAGCAAATGACCCAAAATTTCAGAGATGCCAGTCACATGGGATGACTGCCAAGAACAGCAGCGGCTTGTGGAGTGGAGCTGGCCTGAGCCTGGAAGATGAACCGTGTGTGCTGCAGGGAGTGGAGCTGGAGAAGTGACCCAGGCCTTTTGGAGGTGCCCAGAAGATCCTGAGTGCATCCCAAGTATTGGACATTGGGTTATTTACACTGTTGGAGTTTGGTTTTACTTTGATCTGATTGTGACTGTTCCCTGGTTCTTCCCTTTTGAAATAAGAACGTATTTAACTTATCCTTTATTTTGTAGGAGCCCACAGTTGAGAGACTTTCTATTTTAAAAAGAGACTTTGGACTTTCAAAACTGGGTTTTCACAAAAGAGACTGGATTTTTAAAGTGTTTGAATTTGTAAGACTGAGAGACTTTTTAAAAATATTTGTAAAACGTTCTTTATTGTGATGTTTATATCAATGTGTGATCTTGGGGATGAACAAGAGAGAAAAGGTTGTGGCTTTACAGTGTTAAGTTGGTAGGTTGTGCTAGATAGTTTTATGGCCCAAGCTTGACCCAAGCTAAAGTCATCTGAGGGGAGGGACCTCAATTAAGAAAAGGCCTCCATGCCGTGTGTGTCGATGCACACCTTTAATCCCAGCAAGGCAAAGGCAGGCAGATCTCTGAATTCGAGGCCAGCCTGGTCTACTGATCGAGTACCAGGACTGCCAGGGCTACACAGAAACTATGTCTCCAGCCTCCCCACCCCCCAAGGAAGAAAAAACGCTTCCATAAAATTGGACTGTAGGCAAGCCTGTAGGGTATTTTCTTAAATAGTGATTGATGGGGAGGGAGAGCCTAACCCATTGTGGGTGGTACCATCCCTGAGCAAGTGGTCCTGTCAGGCTGAGCAAGCCTTGGGGAGCAAGCCAGTAAGCAGCACTCCTTCATGGCCTTTGCATGAGTTCCTGCCTCTGTGTTCCTGTCCTGACTTCCTTCAATGATGAGCTACAATATAGAAGTAGAAGCCAAATAAACCCTTTCCTTCTCCATTTGCTTTGGTCATGGTGTTTTATCACAGCAATAGAAACTCTAAGCAGTGTGGGCTTGTTCCTTGAGTCTTGGGCTCCACAGCAGCTTGGAGCTCCAGGACCTCTGTATTAAGGGTACAAGGCTTGGAGGGGCCTGGGCAGACCTACCTGGCCCTTCCTTAGGTTAGCCACCCCCACCTCCCTCACGCCCTCTTTTTTATGTTCATTGGTGTTTTACATGTGTGTCTATGTGTGGGAGTCAGATCCCCAGAAACTGGAGTTACAGACAGTTGTGAGCTGCCATGTGGGTGCTGGGAATTGAACCTGGGTCCTCTGGAAGAGCAGCCAGTGCTCTTAATCACTGAGCCATCTGTCCAGCCCCCCACCTCCTCTTAAACCATCCAGGGACCCACTGCAGTTCAGCCTTTTGACCAGGAGAGACAGACTGGCACACACAAGGTTGGTTGGGGGTGGGGGCTATGAGGAGGTGCCAGGCGCAACTCAAGTTTACAGATAGGGTGATCAATGAAGCTCAAAGAGGCTCTGCAGTGCCTGGAAGTTACACAGCAGGTCAGCCTCATGCTGGAGACTGGAGCCAAATGGCTCTCCGAGCCCCTGGGCTGTACCCTTAGGGTACCCTTAGGGCTGTACACTTAGGGGACCCTGGTGGGGTCCTTCATTCCCAAGGGATGGTTACCTAGCAGGGTATGATGTGGAAGAGGGGCCAGGACACCTGTCTCCCACCTGTTATCCAGGCTGCTCTCCATAGGCCTCCGGTGTCTTGGAACTGCCAACAGTGTTTGGTAACCTATAGGATGGCTCAGAATCTGACCCAGGCCTGTGTGGCATCCCTACTGTTTTCCAAGGGCCTGGTGCCTGCTGCCCCACGGGGCACAACGGCAGAGGGGACCAGGAAGTCATCCTTAGAGCACAGGGGCTGAATGCCCCTTTAGTCAAGAGGCAGAGCATGAAGTGCCCATGGAACATTGGGGTGGCCTTTGGGGACAGATGGAGCTGTCTTTATTTGCCATCCCCAGCTTAGAATCAAATCAATTGCAGCCTTTACCTGCCACAGGCGACTGGGATAGCTCACAAGGATGAGAGAGGTCCTACATAAGCCCCATGGGAGTCAGCTCTGAAGGCACCAAGACGGCATAGCTGGATGCTCTTTGTTGCCTTTGTATACAGTTAGTGCTTAATATATGTGCAATTTCTATTCCCAGAGTTAATCCTGAGCAATAATCTTCCTGTGTGAATATGGAGTTGTGTATGGGAGTTCTTAGGGGAGGGCATGTGTCCGCTACACTCATGTCACATCTGTCTTCAACCCTGAGGATCAGAGGACACTGAAAGATGTTCTGGGCTTTGGGGAGCAGGTGGGACTAGGGCCTGGCTCTGGGCTCCAGCGGCTGTAGTAGGGAGAAGTGGGGGTGGTGAGGCTGAGGGTAGGGAGTAAGACCCTGTACTGGATTGTTTAGTTAGTCATCTTAACATAAGCTAGAGTCATCAGAGAGAGACGAGCCTCAGTTGAGAAAGTGCCTCCATGAGATCCAGCTACAAGGCATTTTCTCAATTAGTGATCAATGGGGGAGGGCCCAGCCCACTGTGGGTGGTGCCACCCTTGGGCTGATGGTCCTGGGTTCTATAAGAAAGCAGATTAAGCAAACCATTGGGAGCATGCTAGTAAAGAGTAGCACCCCTCCATGGCCTCTGCATCAGCTCCTGCCTCCAGGATCCTGCCCTGTTTGCGTTTGCTGTCCTGTGATGAACAGCAATGTCGAAGTGTAAGTCAAATAAACCCTTTCCTCCCCAACTTGCTTTTTTGTGATGGTGTTTTGTTGCAAAAATAGAAACCCTATCTAAGACACACACTATGTCTGGGCACATGGGCATGACCTTGTCTTCACAGGGCTTCACCTCCCTGAAGTACCTCCCACCTCCTCCCCTTCTGCCAGGCTCCTGCACTTGGGGCTTTTGTGAATGCTTTCTGAATCACAACTGGCTCCCTA